GGTGTCAAACACCCCCTAAGTAATAAAATTCAATACGGAAATCATATTTTAAAAAAAAAAAAAATTTAGTAGAAGAGCTTTTCGAATTTTATAAAATATCAATATTCAAATCAAAACTCGACACTCATCATTACAAATAATTATAGACTCATGTATGTATAGAAAATTACAGAAATTTTTTGACAGATTTGTTATCGAAGCTAACATGGCCTTTCTTTTTTTCCATCTTCCAATGAATGCATGTCAAGTGTTGTCTGTAAATATTTTCTGTCAAAATTGTCTGTACTTGCATAGTTGCATGATTGTATGAGTTATATGTAAATGAATTAAATGTTAAGTTATGTTACAAGTATATCAAGGGATACATATGGGTGTCCATAATGGACACCCGACGCTCCCCAATTGGATGGAGTGCAAGTGGGATCAGCACTTCATCCAATGTGCCGATTGTCCATTATGGACACCTTTATGTACCCCTAATATACACTTGACATTTTCTTTAAATGTTTGTTGATTTTTCTAAGGATGAAATAAGTTGAAACTGCAAGCTGGAACATAGAACAGCGTGCATTCAACATGCAATATATAATACTAACTTATATAAGCGGCAAAAAGTCAATGTAAAGGCTAGCTATTTTTTGACAACCATAGAAAATGGAGTTTTGAAAGGTGAAAATTAGATTTTTTTAGAATTACGTGCAGAATATTTCATCGTATGAACGTGTGATTGAAAATGAGTACGTACAAAAAATAATTCTAAAATAATAGATGGCAAACAAGGACTAAAAACTTGCACCTAGTCCAAGGTTGGAAATGTTACAATAGTAATTTCTTTATTTTTTAATATATATAATGTAACTTACTATTAATAAATATGAACGATTTTTATTTAAACAACTATTTAATATAGGGACATACTAAACCACCCTTGTTTGAGCCCATTTTTCACAAAAAAATGGGTTTTTTTTGTAATAATGATTTTTTGGAGAATGCATTGTTTAAAAGTAGGAAAAAAATTTCGAATTTATGTTTAAATAATTTTTTTGGTAAAATGTGTTATATAGAACGAGTTTAGAAAAAAATAAGTTTTTGAATAATGGGATTCAAACATGAGTTAATTTCATTTTCTTAATATTTGTGAAAATATAATTAAATCTAGAGAAAATTGCATTCAATGTACCATACATTTCATTTAGTTGTAGATTTTGCATAAACCTTTTATTTGTGTCACCTAAGGTGCCAAATTTTTAAAAAAACTCGCAAT